TCCTCAGGAGCAACAGGATCAAACTGTTCCCAGATAACTGGGTAAGAAGAGTCACCAGGACGTGATCTGACCATGAGAACAGGGAAAGCTATAGATCTCCCCTCAGAACACTTTGCCATTGCTCCGACAAGAAAACCAAATCTGGCATGTGGCCACTATCCCGGGTTGGGTCCCGCACAATTTGAGACAGCCCATGAACTCCCGAGCCGCCCCTGAAGACCGCCCCAGGGACGGTAGGTTGAAGTCTCCCAGAACCATAAGCCTGGGGAACTCCACCACCAGCCCCGAGATGGCCTCCAGCAGCTCAGGCAGGGAGGCTGCCACACAGCAGGGAGGCTGGTACAATAGCAGAACTTCCAACTGTTCCCGGGTGCCCAACCTAATAAAAAGTGTCTTACAGCCAGAAACTTGTGGAGCAATGCCCCTGAAGGCTACTGGATCACAATAGCCCCCCCCCCTCCCCTGCCCTGGCCTCTCAGCTGGTGTCACACCGGGAACCCAGCTGGGCACATTTCCGAGAGGGGCACCCCCCCCTCGGGCCCCAGCCAGGTCTCGGTAATGCATGTCAGGTCTGCCTCCTCCTCGGTGATCAAGTCACATATGAGGGGGGCCTTGTTGATAACCGACCTGGCATTAAGCAGCAGAAGCCAAAGGCCAGGGTCCCTAAGAGCCTGCTGACGAGACTCTGGGAATGAGCCAGGAGGGCTGGAACACGCCACCGGTAACACACATCAGGGGCATCTTCCCCGAAGATGGCCCGCCCTCCAGCTCCCGCCATATCATCCCCTACCTGTCACCACCTTGAGAGAGTAGTCCACCACATAATCCCTGGGGGCTATAGGCCCAGATACCTCCACTCCTGAACCTCCAGGTTCCCCAACCCGGGGCAAGGGTCCCTCCTTCCAGCGACTCATCCTCAGTCACACCCAAACACTCGCAGGTGAGGGAGGGCCGCCCCGGCACACAAGCTTGCACTCTCGGTCCACCAGGACCCACCCCCCACCAAACCTTACACTCCCACACACCCTCTGCCACCCTGCACGACCTCTCTCACTAGTCGGCAGGGTGGACCTCCCATTCATTCCCTCGCATCTCCTGTCTCCCACCCAGAAGGTGGAGCCTTCATATATATATATATATATATGTATGTATGTATGTATGTATGTATGTATGTATAATATATATTTGCATTTAGCACATGCAAATATACATCCATGTGACATAAGATAGATATTCAATTGCTGACTGAAGCCAATATGGAGCTTTTTCTTTCTTTATCAGATTCTTCTTTTCTTTTCTTTTTGCATTCATTAAAATATTTTGTATTTGAGTTTCACCACATGACTTTTCATAAAATGAAGAATTCAATAAAACCATAGATGAGTGCTCAAGTTGGCTTTGAAGATAAAAACAAAATTTAAAGCAGTTAAAAAACTAGCAAAATTAGTTTGTATGAAATGAGATGATGAGATAAAAATTACTTAAAATATAGCAAAGCTACAAAACTCAGTACTGAAAAGATACAGAAGTGCCAAGACAGCAGCAGCAGCAACACTGAGGGCAATAAAGCAAATGATAGTCATAAGTCTGTACTGTTTTTACAACTTAATCCCATTTTCCACTTGCACATTTGGTGTTCCAAAGAATGAAAATTGTCTTTATCAGATAGTAACCATTTCTATCTATTAAATGATAGAAATAATTTTTGATCTATTTTTCTTAGAGATTTCTATCTGTTAAACCCACAGGTGTTTATTCACAAAATATGAAGCTGTGTTCCAGTAATTAGGGACAGAAGATAACTCTGAAAGGGTTGAGAATATTTCCTTTAACAAAGCTATTAGCAACTGGGAAGGAAATACATTGACCAACCCTAATTTCTATTATTTTCTTCCAACTTTAAGAAACTAAACATCACTCCATTATCAGAAAGGTTACTATTTTTTAGCTTCATATGAATTGAATGATCCTAAAGTCACAGTAACCTTAAGGGCAATTGCAAAATATACTAAAAGTGGTATATTTTATACAGGCAATAGTTTAACTACATTAACTACAACAGCATTAACTGGATGATCTCTTAAGGGGATGGAGGGAGGTTGTGGAAGAAAAAGGCCGGGTTTGCAATTTATACTAACTCATAGGTTTTTTTAAACAATGGCTTGTTAACATGCTCTAGTGACCTGGTTCCCATATAATAGTAATCCATAAATCATGTTTTGCAGACAGCTGTGTACCTACCATGTAAACCAAAGCCAGTTTTATGGATTAGTGTGTTATAAAAATCAAGGAGTTCAAGGTGGTATCACAAGAGATGACCTGTGATTTTTTGACAACACAATACAAATATAATACTAATGGCATATTTAGCTGGAGTGATTGCTTGTGGATTATAGTGCTATGCATTAAGTTGTGGTATTACTACATTAGCTAGGAAAGTCATTAGACAAACGGGCGGAGTAACAAAAATCTTCCTGCATTTATTTTAAATGCAGTAGACTCTAAAACAATTGAACAAATACAAAGTCCTTTTAAATAGTGTTTGACTGAACTAGTAAATAAAACTGAGTAGGAAGGGATTTTTAAAAAATTACTAGTTGTGGCAGAATTTATAGATTTTTGAAAAATCAATTATGGAACAAAATCACACCTAAATATATCACCCAGGGCAGATCATAAAATCCCATAATGGAAAGAAAAGTTACATATGAAACCTCTAAATAATGCAAAATGCTGATTAGTACTGTAAGAATATGAGACATTACATGACCTCTGATTAAATAAACCATCCATGAAGTGTATCAATAACTTACAAATATATTCTCAGAATCTAATTTCAAGTTGTCACAAATGCAGTAAGGGTGCATTCAATACATTGATCAAAGCATTATTTACTTGTTTATTTGCAGCTTGTGCAACCTGCTTCAATCAAAACATAGGCAGGTTATAATGCAGTAAAAATATAAATGCAAAACAATACATGAACTGTAGATACCTCTACCAAGATGGATGCCTTTAACAGGTAACTGGGGTTAAAGGTTATATGGAATAGGCCCATTCTGGCTGTTTTTTGAAGTGCCATGAATGGCCTGCATGGATTTCCAAGGGTACAGAGTTTTTAAGTATAGGGGCCATAACAGAAAAGTTATAATGTACAATTATACAACCATCACCCAACAGATGAAAAATAAAATACTCAACAGTTCAATAATCATCATCATCATCAACAACCAATATTGTGTTTAAGGGATCTTGAATAAACCATACGGTTATGAACGCCTTACTCCAACCACCCTCGTCTCCCAGTTTTACCTATGTTTACAGATAATGGTGCAAACCACAGTTCACTCTTCACAGTTAAAAAAAGTTAAGAATTCAGAGATATTCCAAGCAGAAGGAACCTATATCTCATATACAGTACACAGAAGTTATTTATGCCAGGCTATGATGCCCACACCAAGTCCTTACTAGCTTTGTCAATATTAGATAATAAGGCAAATGAGACATTTATGTGGCTAGGCCTAGAATAATAAATTGAAAAATAAATACATTCCTTTGGAGAAATGGTTAGTTGGACAGATATAACTGTCTGCAAATGCACGCACATAAGCGCATTAAACCGAATCTCCTAGAATAGCATAGGAGGAAAGGTACATGGTTTTGACTTAAAAGGTGCTGTTTTAAGCAGAAAAATCAGAAAGTATTTTTTATAAAATATATGCTGCTTGATTTTGTAACAATGTCTTGCTATTTCCCAGCTGCTGTGTGTTTTTATTTTCTGTATTATATATGTTTTTATCTATTTTACTGTAAGTCACCCAGAATCACATAAGTGAGATGGGTGGCTGTATAAATCGATTGAGGTGAGGTGAGGTGAGGTGAGGTGAGGTGAGGTGAGGTGAGGTGAGGTAAAATATCTATCACGGATATTTTTCCAGAATTACCTTCTTTTTACTTCCTAACATTTATCAAAAGTCCATGCACCTCTCAAGTAGTGACTGCAATACAGAACAGCTAATTGATGGCATCTCATATATACACATATACAGTAGGAAAAGAAACAATGGTTATGCTTTCTGAAAATCAAAGCGGTATGTACATGTGGTATAAAGGCAAGATTCTGCTTAATAATAAATTAAAACAACCTGGATATATCAATTGTCAGTAAAGCAGGCTTTTTAGTAATAGAAATGCAAAATATAAATGATTACTTCAGTTTTTATGCTTCATATTTAAAAAAAAACACAGTTGTTCAAGAACCAACTTGTCAAAGCTGATCAATGTTTTCAGCAGAGGTGAAGTAGGAAAGCGATGCATCCAAATCAACATTGTATAAAAGACAAACACTGATCTCTAGTATCATTATAACAAGCAATAAGTATAGTGGAAACTAATTTGTAATAGAAGCAAAACGATGGCATTTAGTTGTTTTAATTACTTTATTATTATTTCCTAGAGTCACAACTGAAAGCTCCAAAAACTTTGAAATGTGTTTCTTTCATTGTGATGCATGTTCTTACCTTCCTTTCCTTTAAATCTTTCCTGATCGTATCTGTTGTAGGCAGCTGGAATAGGCTGCTTGTTCCTTAAAGTTGGATCCTGAAAATAAATGGGAAGGGGATTTTGTATGAGTTACATTTGTTTGCAAATATTATACATTTATGCCTGAATAGTATAGATAACAGATAAATCACTAAATATTTAGATACACTGAAAGAAGGCTCATTTTCAATCTAATTTTCTGTATAAATATAACACTAAGTTTTAAATCTATGGCTAGTCCTTGGGTGTAGCAATCGAGACTGGGATTTCCGTCGCTAAGTGATGTGGTCATAAAGCATGACATCACATGACCTCATTGCTTAGCACGAATCCTGGCAATCCCAATTGCCATCATAACCCCAGGACCATACAGGTTGTTAAGTGAAGACTTCATGTGACTGCGAAGTGGGAAGAGGCAGGAGTCCTAGGCAAGTTATGGGTTGGTGGGCTGGTACCACGGGTGGGCGCTGGAGAGTGTGGGGCTTGCTGCAGTGTGGGGCCTGAGATAGCAAGCCCCAGTGCTGTAGCAAGCTTCAGCAGCACCAGTCAGCCTCAAGCCCCACACTGCTGCAAACCCCACACTCCCTACCGCCTGCCTATGGCACCCACCATCCCACCCAAGGCTCTCACCTGCCAGCCTGCTTGCCTGGGACTCCTGCCTTTTCCCAGGCTAAGTAGAAGATGAAGGTCAGTTGGGGGTGGCAGCAGGGGTGGGCAGTGGCAGGGAGACAGTTGTAAATGTGGGTGGACCCAAATTTTTATCATGTCACCATGGGGGCACTTGACAGCCAGAACTTTGAGGACTGGTCATAAGTCCATTTTTTCAGCACCGTTGTAACTTAGAACAGTTGCTGAATGAATGGATATAACTCAAGGACTATCTGTACTTAAAGATACCCAGAATTAGTGAAATACCCAGATTTCAATAATTCAGTTCACTGAGGCCGACATATTACTTCCCACGTTAAGCATAATGAACAGTAGGCTATCTCCCAACTTTAAAAGAAGAAAGGTGTTTTCAGAATACTTGAGTAGTTGTGTGTCAATCCTTTCTCCATTTAATTCCAAAACTGGAAAGAAAGCTAATGATTGGCATCTATATGGCTCAAGTAAAGTAAATGGCTTTAGCAAATTATTGCTTGCCATTTCTCCTTGATGAAATGCTTCCATTTGGTTATTCCTCTAAAAAAGGATTAGTGGAAAGAACCATCATAGAGCTTATATTCTTCTGCTGCCTTACCTTTTCCAAGAGAAAGACTATCGGAAGGAAAGTAAAGAGAAATGACTAACGTTTGTTGGCTTGGCTAAGCCTACTAACTAGGATTCAAGTTGAAAGTTACTGCAATATTGAATCAGTTGTTTTTAAGCTACTCATAATTTAGCTGATCTACATATTTATATCTCACAAAGTATGGCATCAAATCAATCATGGGTGAAACAGTTCTCACTTAATTCCAGTAACATATGAAATCAGTTAGTCATCTGGTTGACACAGTCCAGCGTCTACTCTTAATATGGCCAACTTAAGTGCTGTTGCAAGTTTCAATCTTCATACAGATAGTCCTCAGTTAATTATTGTAATTGGGACCAGCAACTCCATTGCTAAGCAACACAGTCCTAAATCAAAAAATCACATGGCTGTGCTGACTTATGACAGCAGTTCCAGTTGCAGTTGTTAAGCAAATCATGCATAGTCATTAAGCGTGACATCATGTGACTGAGACATGCAACTTCCTGCTGGCTTCCCCACTGAATTTTGCTTATCGGAAGCTGGCAGTGAAGGTTGCAAATGGCGATCATGTGACTGGGACACGGCAGCCATCATAATTGTGTGTCAGTTGCCAAGCACCTGAATTGCGATCACGTGACTGCGGGGACACTGCAACGGCTGCAACTTTGAGGACTGGTAGTAAGTCTCCTTGTTTACTGCCTTTGTAACTTTGGTCACTGAATGAGTGGTCACTTTGCTTCAGCAGAAATGAATTTCTAAATAAGCACTGTTTGAATTTAGGTATGCAAATTATATATAAATTTTGAAGAGTGTAGATGCTCATCCTAATGCGGCAATACATTTCAGTTGATCCATCTTTAGGAAAGGCATTTAGTTTGAAATAGCATGTGTACAGTATTTATTCCAAGCAAAGCAGTCATTCTATTGACCTCATATACCAAGTCAATTACCATGACAAAACACATAGAAAAATATTAAATGCATAGTTCACAGTTAAATGCATCTACATAACATTAGAAACGTTTTTCTTTGAGTAAAGAAAAATGAAGCAAAATGAAAAAGAAAGAATTTCCATTTTTATTTTTTCTTTAAATAAGATTTTATTTTCTACTGCAGTCTTACCATTGGCGCAGTATTTGGTGCTGGTCGTTGCTCAGGTGCACGGCCTTCTTCTCTAGCTTTGACTGACTGAAGAATTGCAAATATGTTCTTGGCAAAGTTCTAAAACAGGCAAACAAATAATAAATAAATAAAATATTGTATTCTCTTTCTTTTATACCATTTCAGAAGCCACTGGTTACACAAGTATGATATAAACTTTAAAATGAATATTCTTTAAAAAATATAGCTTTGAGACTACAAATAATTAGACATGCAGCTGACAACGAAAATGAAACTGTTTTGACATATGTATTTCATGGATGAAATTGAAAGTGCCAAGTTTAACTCCTGGCATTACTACTACACTGGACAAGGTAGAGTAATTGCACAAATCCCATGGCACAAGGTGGGTACAATCTTCACAGCAAACATAAGACATATCAGCTATTTAGAATACACTGAACCTATTCTTACAAAGGTTTCACACTTATCCCAACCTTCCCACTTTTAGATCCTAAATACTATATGTCAACAGTTATGGCCAAAATACTGAAGAACTATAGAACTTTATGTAAGCCAATGGACCAATGAGTAAAGCATCACCAATATAGGAAATAATCCTATATATGAAGAGAAAAGGTAATTCAACCAGAAAGGCATTTCTTAAGACTGTATTTACTGAAAACAAGACACCTCCCCACACTACATTTAAGATTATTCTCCCCCCGCCAAAAGGAAGATATGACAGGGAGAAAACCCCGCTTCTTCTGCTTACATATCATATTCTCAACAAGGCTAAGACTCTTACATTTGAGGAAAAAAAATAGCCTTCTTTTTTTGTGAATAGAGTAGCATATTTTGTCAGTCATTTAAAGAGTATGACAAAGTAAACATTATAAATATGTAATTTTATGTTATAAAATTAGTTTTAAACTAATTATGGATATTATTTTAAAAATGTATATACTATTCCTTTTCCAAACCAAGAAAATGGGTCCCAGCTCAATATGCATACAACAGGTAGAAAGCAAGAAAAAAGTAAGCCTCGAGGGCAGGTAAAAACATGCAACATTTAAACTGAGAAAAATGCTCTTTTAAATATGTTCAAAGAGAAGTTGCATAACTAAAGTGCATTATTCTGTTTAAGAGAAGCTTAAAAATGACAAATTAGCATTTTATAAAAGGCTCATATTTAACCAATTTGCATCAACTCTCAATATGCACTTCTTGTTGAATGGCATATGTACACAACAGATGTCCTCCATTACTGATAATTCTAAGTAATAATGAATGTATTCAGCAGCTGAGCTCCATAAAAACATTTGTAATGCTAAATGGCTCTATCTTATTCATTATCATTATGAAAACATTAAAAGCATAACAAGTAGATATATACTATAAGTTTATATAAACATCAAGGGATCTTGTGTTTGGGAGTCTTGACTTGAAATTTGGACTTGTACTACTTTATATATTTAATCTTCCATTTCCCCCCTTCTTTAAACTTAAGTAAACAGAAGGAAATTAATTATAGTCTGCTAAGAACATATATGTAAGATTAAATGAATGATAGATGTTCATGATAACTTTTTTCCTTTTTGATAACAGTAATATTAAAAAATAGATCTAATATGCTGCACCAAAATTTAAATGCCATTTCCTCTGAAATGGCAGAGGAATGAGTAAGCACTGTAATGCAAAAGCTGTGTTTCATTAAACAGACTCCAAAATAACAAGATACCATACTTTAAGCCTCTCTGGGCTAATGGAGGTACAACTGCTAATTGCATTTATCAAACCAGGAATCATCCTACGACAAGCCTTCCTTTTCTCTTCTTTCAGTTTAATTACAGTTAAATTATTTTGGTAGTCCCAATATTAACTGCACAAGAGTCTTAAAAAACAAACTTATTTAAAAGGTTTCCTTTGCCATTGCTATTAATTCCAGTTTGTCCTGGAAATTACTTTATGATTTGACCTGAGCAAGATGTTCATTTTGTAACCACAAATGTGAGTCTTGTTTACTTTTTTTGAGAAGGTGAAAAAGGTTTTTGGTATAATTATTTATACCAAATATACCGGTTATTTCAGCCCGCCCCACTCGGTCCAGCACAAGGGACAGTCAAAGAATTTCGACTAGTGGGGTCTAGGCAGAGGGCCTTTTCTGCTGTAGCCCCCACCCTATGGAATTCCCTTTCCTTTGCATAACCTAAATATTGTTAATTCACTGAACATTTGTCATTCATTCCTTCATTCAATTTAAGGAATTGCTTTACTTTATGAAAAAAGTCAGGACATCAAAAAAAGTGAAATAGATGAAATGCATCCAGATAACCCATACAAAGCATTAAAAAAAAAAAAAAAATCTTACCATGGTTCACCCACCATTCTGCCCCAAGGCCTGGGAGAAGAGCAGGCTTTTCAATGTCTTTCAGAACATCAAGGTGGGAGCCATATGAAATTCTGGGGGGAATTCTGTTCCAGAGGATAAGTGCCATGACAGAGAAGGCATGCCTCTGAGGCCCCAACAGGGGATTCCAAGTACACCCACTCTGCTGGATTTTAGTGGATGGGCAGACACTATTAGAGATGGGTGGTCCCTTAAATAATCAGGCCTTATGCCATGAAAGGCATTATAGATAATAACCAGCATCTTGAATTGTACCCAGAAGTCAACTGGCAGCCAGTGCAGCTCACAGAGCAATGGTGTCACATGGCTATACCGTGGCATGGCCATTACTGCTTGCACTGCTGCATTCTGGACCAGGTGTAGCTTCTGTATAGTCCTCAAGGGTAGCCCTGTGTGGTATTCAAGGACAACCCCATGTAAACTACACTGCAATTGTGAGGGCAAGAGTGACCATCTGAAGGGACACTGATAGGAACAAGTACAACTGATCCACTAGACAAATCTTTGTAAAGGCCTTCTTGGCCACCAGCTCCTTGAAAAGGAGTTCAAGATGATCCCCAGGTTATACATCAGACTCAAATAAAAAGCACTACCCCATCCAAGATTAAACTTGGAAGATATCTCAGGCTCAGGGGCCCAAAAACCCAGAGTTACTCAGTCTTATCAGGATTGAGACTAAGTCTGTTCCTCCCCATCCAGACTCCACAGCCTCCAGACAGCAGGACCATACATCCACACCAACACTTGGATGGCCTAGAGTTGAGTTGTTATCATCAGCATACCGATGATACCAGACCCCAAAACAATGGATGACTGCACCCAGCAGTTTCATGTAGATATTGAACAAAAAAAAGAGGGGGAGAGGAGGTTTGAGCCCTGTAGCATCCAAGTGAGAGACCACAGATTCAACCTCTCTTCTCTGTCAACACTGACTAGAACTGACCACAGAGAAAGGAAGATAAATACTGTAACACAGTGACCCCAATCCCATGGCCTGGAGCCAGTTCAGAACAATACTGTGATTGACTGTACCGAAATATGCTGAGAGATCAAGGAGTACAAGAATGGATGTACCACTTCTGTCATGGCTCCACCAAAGGTCATCAACAAGCACAACCAAAGCTGTTACAATATAGTAACAGCCCAGAGTCACTTTTTGTGAGATGGATGGTATCTAAATTTGAAATATAAGTCAGTCAGTCAGTCAGTCAGTCAGTCAGTCAGTCAGTCAGTCAGTCAGTCAGTCAGTCAGTCAGTCTACCTGAAATCTGACTGGAAAGGTCAACATAATCCACTTCCTCCAGGGTCTAGAGCTGTTGCCCAACTATTTTCTCACCTTCCAGAAAAGGAAAGGCTGGAAACTGCACAAACATTCTCCAGGATCATTGGGTCCAGCAGTGGTTACTAGAGGAGGGGGCACACTGTCGCATCCTTCAGAATCAAGGGAATCACCTCATCTCTCAGAGAAGCTGATACCACTGTATCCACACAATTGTAGGTCTCCTCCTGAGAAGCTTTAACCACCCAGGAGGGGTCTGGATCTAATAAACAGGTGGCTGAGCTCACAATATGAAGGACCCTTTCTGCTTTATCAGATGTCACAGACTCAAACTCATCCCAGGTAAACCAAGAAGACCATCCCCCAGACGCTGCAATTGGATTTACCCATGTCAAAGTCCAACTCTGAGAGAAACTGAGTGACTATCTGCCAGACAGCTAGAGTATTCTCCACAATGGCCCAGTAGATGTTCCTGTGACTCATCCCTCCCCAGTCAGGAGTGAGTCACCTTAAATAGAGTCACTGGAATGCTATCGGCAGATGCAGTAAGGGCAGAGAAATAATGGCCATTTTGCCACCCTTATGCCAACAATGTAATTCTGAATATGGGCTCTTACTCATATTGGGTCAGACTCACTCTTCATCTTCTTCCAACGGCACTCTAGGCACCTCTCTGGTGCTTCATCATTCTCCTCAGAGAACTAAGTTTGGCACACAGGGATAGGCCACACACGGGCAATCCGGCCTCAGCTACCTGCTTTGACTAAACTGTCCACTACATCCTCAGGATAATCCTAAATTCTCTCTGAACCCCAAGAGAGCATGTAAGTTGCTTGGGTGCACTGTCTCCCTGTGAGGTAAGGTAAGCACAGCAAATGGAATGACAACCATAGACTGATATGACTATAGTGATGGATTGATGGTAATATTTTCTGGTATCAGACCGGTTCACAAATGCCCTGAGACAAAAACCAGATCCAAGACTACCAGTATGCAGCACACCTTCAATGATTTGGTTCCATGGTTGCCATTTAGGCCATGAACTCCTGAGCTTCCATGGACTCAATATCACCTTGCAGCAAATTAAAATTCTCCATACTAACAGTCTTGGCTAGCCTGGAGATGGGACCCAGCAATTCAGAAAGGGATTATGTAAACCTCACTCCATTCTAGCACTGAAGATGTTACCTAGGTGGGTAACAAAACGTTTGCAAGAAAACAACCAAGCTCAGAGAACTCCAAAGACTCCAGAGTCTCACATCTGGTTATTTGTGGTGCAGAAAATCTAAGATCCCTCAATGAGTCATGGATAACAACAGTCCCTTCAGCCCCTGGGCCCACAGCTGATGCCAAACCTAGAACCTGGGCAGGCACATCTCTAAGAGTGAAACTCAGCCCCCCTCTCCCCGCTCTTTTAAAATTATCCAGAAG